CATGGACACAGATCTTGGCTGGAGATTGTGGCTATAGATCCTGGCAAGGCTGCTCATCAACTGAACGCTGTCTCCTTGTCATTCCTTCTTCGCCGACTCCGTCCACACCTTTTGGGGACTCCTGGACCTGCTGGGGTTGGACCCCTGGATAGAACCAGGCGAGAGAACCCAACTATGCAGATGAACTGCATGCTGCCTCCATGTCATTCCTTCTTCGCCGACTCCGTCCACACCTTTGGGGACCCCTGGACCTGCTGGGGCTGGACCCCGGCACAACAGGCCTGATCAGAGAGGCGGGGCTGATCATCAGCCCCAGCTGGAGGCCTGAGAGAAAGAGAGGCATGCCTGCTGGCCAAGCCCAAAGAGAAAGAGAGAGGCAAGTGCTGATCAACAGCTGTCACAGAGACTACAGATCATACCCTGCTTCTCTCTCCAGGCCTCTCTTCGGGACTGATCCACAGCCCCCTTAGCAGTCAGTGCTGGGTTGGGGGCCTGCAGTGGCGCAGTCAGTCGAGGCTTCAGTCGTTTTGGATGTTACGGACCCTGGGTTTTTATATATTAGGATACTATTTTTGTTCTTAATAACTACCACTTATTAAATCCATAGAGGTACATATAGGGTATCCCAAAAAATGTATACACACTTTAACAGCTGATAGCTAAATTTTGAAAATAAGTTGTATTTTAATAAACACTACCTTTATAATTATTCAAAGTGTGTATATACATTTTGGGGGAACAGCCATATATACATATATTGTTTGTCTATATGTATGTATATACACATATGGTATTTTTTTTCATTGTTACAAAGGTGACACATAGAAACTTTTAAAACTAGAAATAGGAAACTAAAAATAAAAAGTAAATATCCATTATATCACCTCGGAGTCCATTATTTTTAACATCTTGCTAGCCTCCCACTCTTTTTTTCTGCTCATATATATTTACACACACAGGTTCTCTGGGTGTATTTTGCTTTGCAACCCGCTTTTGTCAGCAATATAACCTGGTAATCTTTCCATTTTAATAAGTATTCCTGTGATATCATTTATTAATAGCTGATATGGATAAACTATAATTGAATTAATATATTGTTAGATGTCAAGGCTTGTTTTACTTTTGTAGTGTCATGTAAACAAGCCTTCAAGGAACATATTTAAGCTAAATCTTTGTGCAAGTCCATAATTATTTCCTCTGGCTAAAGCTGTGAAACCTAACCTTGAGACCTCCTGACTACAGGCGAACTTGGAGGGGCTCACACATAAAGGAAAGCCTGGGATTTCACTGCATAGACATGGATTAGGGGACCCTCTCCTTCCTTCCTGCAGTGCGTTGCTTATCAACCACAACTGTTGTTTTTAAATTCTGAGGACACATGTCCTGGGAAGACAGTAGTGAACAAAACAGGCAAGTCCTTGAACTGTGGGTGCTTACATTCGTAGAGAGAAAAACGTTATCATATGGGAAACAGTATGGAGGTTCCTCAGAAATTTAAAAATAGAACTAGCATATGACCCAGCAATTTCACTTCTGGGTATTTAGCTGAAGAAAATGAAAACAATAACTCAAAAAGATATCCGTACCCCATGTTCATTTCAACAGTATCTATAATAATAAAACTGTAATATGCTAATTAGACTGGACATCCATCCGGGGCTGCTGCTGCAAGGGCTGGGGCGGCGGCCGGGGTGGCAGTCAGGGCTGCTGCTGCCTCGGCCCTCGGAGCTCCTTGCATGAATTTTGTGCATCAAGCCTCTAGTTTACTATAACAACCTGTGTCCATGGATGGATGGATGAATAAATAAATTATCCTATATAATAAAAGCCTAATATAATAAGTGTCTGTTTTACCAGTCGCTATGACATGTACTGACCACCAGGGGGCAGATGCTATGACCAGTAAGTTAGTTTGCTGCTGGGGTCCAGCTGATCAGGACTGGGCAAGATTGGCTGGACACACCCTGGAGCCCTCCTGCAGTCCCTCCCCAGCCGGCCAATCTCCCGTGGTCCCTCCCTGGCCTCTAAAATACTTCTTCTAATTAATTTTCTTTCAATGTGCACAAATCTGTACACCGGGCCTTTAGTATATATATAATTCAGCCATAAAAAAGAATGAACTCTTTTCATTTTCTACAGAATGGATGGGCCTTGAGGGTATTATGTTAAGTGAAATAAGTCAGATAACAAATACCAAATGATTGCACAAAAAACAAAAAGTCAAGAACACAGAACAACCCAAGCTCACATAAAGAGAAGCAACTGGCAATTGCCAGAGGTAGGGGATGGGAGGTGGATGAAATGGGTGAAGGGAGTAAAAAGATAAACTTCCAGTTATAAATAAACTAGAGGCCTGGTGCATGAAATTTGTGTCCCTCAGCTTGGCCTGCACCCTTTTGCAGTCTGGGAGTCCTCGGAAGATGTCTAACTGACAGCTTAGGCCCACTCCCCACCCACTCCCTGTGGGGAGCAGGCCTAAGCCAGCAGTAGGAAATTTTTAGTGCTGGGATAGGCTCCCGCCACTGCCACTGCACTTGCCAGCCTGAGCCCGGCTTGTGGCTGAGCATTGCTCCCCCTGTGGGAGCTCAATGACCCATCAGGGTGCAGTTCCTGCATTGAGCGTCTGCCCCCTGGTGGTCAGTGCGTGTCATAGCAACCAGTTATTCTGCCATTCGGTCGATTTGCATATTAGCCTTTTATTATATAGGACTAGGGGTCTCTCAGCCTGGCCTGCACCCTCTCCAATATGGGCCCCTTGGGAAATGTCCAACTGCCGGTTTAGGCCCGATCTCTGTGGGATCAGGCCTAAACCGGCAGTTGGACATCCCTCTTGCAATCTGGGACCATTGGCTCCTAACTGCTTGCCTGCTTGCCGGCCTGATGACCCTAACTGCTCTCCCCTGCTGGCCTGATCCCCCTAACTGCTCTCCCCTGCCAGCCTGATTGCCCCTAACTGCCTCTGCCTCAGCCCTGCCATCGTGGTTTTGTCCGGAAGGACGTCCAGAAGGTCGCCCGGAAGATGTCCGGTCTAATTAGCACATTATCCTCTTATTATTATAGATACGTCATGGGGATGAAATGTACAGCATGGCAGCTATGGTTAATAATACTGTATTGCATATTTGAAAGTTGCTATGAGAAATCACAAAAGTTCTTATCCCAAGACAAAAAATTCTGTAAATATGTCTGGTGATGGATGCTAACTAGATTTGTGATGATTTCATGATATATACAAATATCAAATCACTATTTTATATACTTGAAACTCATATAATGTTGTATGATGATTATACTTCAATAAAAATACAATAAAATAGAAATTATGTGAAACCTTAACATCTTAAATAGAACTGGTCAGAGGAAAAAAAGAAAAAGTAAAACTGAAGTTGTGCAAGGAGAAGAAAGTCTACCTCACAACTGTAACGTAGAATCCCGCCCAGCCTCCAGCCTGCCTTATAGATTTTGGACTTGCCGCTTTCCACAACCACATGAGCCAATTCCTTAAAATAAATCTCTTTTTATGTGTAAGTTTGTTCTATTTCTGTTGGTTCCCTTTCTCTGGAGAACCCTGAGTGATAGAAAGGCTAGCGTAAAATTCATAAGGGTGATTTAAAATTTTTTTAACCATTG